CGTCTCTTGGACACTGGCGTGAGAGATGGTGATGGTGCCCACGGCCCACACGAACCAAACCGGTGGAGAGAATGGAGATGGAGATGAGAGGGATGGTGGAGGGGAGGAGAGAGGAGTGTCCACACTGTCAGGTGCTGTCACCTGGACCGAACCAGATTGAACCAAGGGGCACACCCTAGCTGAGCGAAGAATGACCTGTCCGCTGTCCGTGTCAGCATGCGCATTCAACCAAGCCCCTCAACCTCTACCTCCAAATTTAGGGTGCTGCTCCATTAGAGATGGGAAGACCCTCAACAACAGCTCCCAGAGATGGAGGGATCACTGCTCCCTGAGTTCTGGACAGTGTTGCTATCCTGTCAGCTTGTCACTATGGCCAGACACTATGTGAGGAAGAAGGGTGCCCAGGGAAAACCGGGAGAGGGGAGGCTCTTCCTTGCTGGGTCAGAGCTCTCTGCACTCTGTGCTGACTTAGATCTCTGCTTTCTTATTGGGCCCCAATAGGTGGGGTCCATTAAGGGCGAAGACTTTGCCTTGCACCTGTGTGTTCCCAGGACCTTCCATATTACCAGGTACTGACCCAGGAAAGGTTTGCTGAATGAAACGCACATGGGCGGATGCTACAGGCAAGGCTCTCTTCCATTATGCTATCCTTTTGTGTTTCTGATGACAAGGCCCACAGCTCCCCCAGCCGCTCACTGCTCAAGTCCGCTTTGCCTGGATACCTTCTCCTGCCCCTCCACCACCTCACTGCAGACAGCAGTGAGCTTCCATGCACCCCCAGGCATGGGCCTAGCCCCCCATGTGACTCCTAAGGGAATTAACACCGGACCAGGGTCCCAGGGTGCCAGCTTGCCTCACCTCCTAGCACCAAAGGAAGCTGCCAGACTGCTTAGTTCTGGGGAGGGTCCACACACAACTGGGCCAAAATCCAGTAAATCCTGAGAATGTCTGCCTGCTCTGCGAGGAGAATGGCCCATGCAACCTCCTCCCTCTTCCTCTTATTTTTTAAGAGTTTTATTTTATTTTATTTATTTTATGTGTATGCACGTATGTCTACCAAGAGCAGAAGAGGGTATTGGATCCCCTGAAACTGTAGTTTGAGATGGTTGTGAGCTGCCCTGTGGGTCCTGGGAATTGAACCCAGATCCTCTAGAAAAGCAATCAGTGTTCTTAACCACGGAGGCTTCTCTCTAGGCCTGCAACCTACTACTTCTTACAGAGGCCTAAGCAACAGGCTGAGTGTGGTTCCAGCCCAGTCACACTCCCTGTTTTCCCACTGCCCTAGGAAGGCTCTGGAGATCTGGGAGGGAGATTATTAAAATGTGGCTAGAGGTGCTGGCACACGGTTCCTAGAGGCATGCAGAACAGAAGCATTCTTGGTGCACACATGCATATACACACGCCTGTGAACCCAGAAGTTACCCTGGCTGCCCCCTAATTCCTAATCCATCAGGGTTAAAAGTCTCCCACAACCTGTTTTATAACTTCAGCTGTCAATTCGACACAACTCAGAGTCATGAGCGAATCTCAATTAGGGGATTGCTTCTATCAGATTGGGCTGTAGCCATCATGGGATCATTTTCTTGATTGATGTAGGAGGGCCCAGCCCACCATGGGCAGTATCATCCCTAGGCTTGGTGGATGTGTGTGTGCCCTGGGCTGTTTAAGGAAGCTGACTGAGCAGACGCTAGGGTAAGCAGTGTTCCTCTGTGTTTCTGCTTCAAGCTCCTGCCTTGGCTTACCCTTGATGATGGGCTACAACATGGAAGTGAAATAAACCCTTTGCTCCCAGCTTGCTATGGGTCATGGTGTTTATCACACTCACAGAACAATCTGTTACCACCTGTTCCCTGATAAATACCCATGCTATTCTACCCAGGCCTGAGAAGCGCTTTTCTACCCCGTCTGGTTCTGTCTCAGGCCTCCACTGCTACCCAACACCTCTGCCCTGCTCCTCCTGCTGTAGCCCATCTGTCATACACTCTCCTGACAAGCCCAGAGTGGCCTTCTCACCTCCTAAGCAGATGCTTCAGACAGGCACAGTAGTGATTCTACCTGCACTCAAACCTGGTGAGGACAAGCATGTGACTAAACGTCTTTGCAAATAGAAATATGACATACATGTCATCTCTCAGGGTAGTTAACAAGGGTTTGCTCCTGGACTGAAACGTTTTATCTTTTTTTTTTTTTTTTTTAAACAGGGTCTTATGTAGCCCAGGCTAGTCTTGAACTCTTGAGAGGCCCAGCAGGCCTTGAAGAGTAGGACACTAGGTAGGTGGCAAGGTCTGGGGATTGCAGCCAGACTGGATGGAACCCAGCTCAGAGGTACAAAAGAACTAGAGTTAAATACAGGCTCAAGGGCTCAGGACGGGAACAGCTCTGTCTGAATGTCCCAGCTCTTCCCAAGGGGTCCTATGCTCTAGAGCCCTGCTACAAGGATGTTTGGTCAGAGTTCTTCCTCTAATCACAGGGCTGAAATAAGGCACTGACACAAGAAGGGTGGGGCCCCAACCACCAACAGAGTAACTAACATCGTGGGGAAGAATGAATAAGGCTCGGCCCTTTATGAACTGCTTATTTTGGCTTGGGCTTCAGGAGAAGGGGGACGGAGGAACAGGCCTGAGCTGTGGGTGGCAGGCAGGTCTACATCTCTCTGGCCTTCAGACACAGACATCTGGACCATTCCCACTGATGGACCATTAGGGAAAGAACTCCTGTTGCCGGCCACAGGAGACTTGGAAGGCATCAGGAGCAGAGAGTTGGGACATGGGAGGTTGGGACTTGCTGGGATACTTCCGGCTCAGAGGGCAGAGGCAGTCTCTGTGAAATGCATGGAGAAGACTCTTGCACGGGAGTGTGAGCGCCCCAGTCTCTGGGAAGTTGAGAGATAACTCACAGGCCAGCCTGGTCTGCACCACTGGGCAGCTGTCAGTGTCCAGAGAGGGGTGGGGGTGGAGAGGAAGGCACACAGCAGGAATTGTGTTCATGTGATTGCTTGGGGTCTTTGCCGCAGGAGCCTAGTGTGGAGCTGGGAGTAGAGGCAGGTCTCCGTGGAGTTCTTGAGAGAACCTCAGGAGTTTCTGGGGGAGAATTTTCCAGTAGTTTCCAGCCCTAAGCCTGTTCTCTGTCCCAAAGCTGACAAAGTCTGCAGTCCACAACCCAGGAGAATTTTCCCTGTTCTGAGCCCTACATGGGGGCTGACAAAGACAGGCCAGAGTGTGAGGTGACCATGTGGATTTGTCTCAGTGAGTGAATCCCAACGGAAGGGGACTTGGGTAAAATCCAACCCACTGTAGGAGTTCAGGTGGCTCAGGGAAAAGCGTTGGGGAGATGTCTCCAGGAGGGGCTGGCCCCCGGGAGACCCTTCCATCTAGCTTTATAGCCTGCCCTCCTAAGAACATACAGGTCCTCACCTTCTCCAGCTTTATAGCCTGCCCTCCTAAGAACATACAGAAGACCCTTCCGTCCAGCTTTATAGCCTGCCCTCCTAAGAACATACAGGTCCTGACCTTCTCCAGCTTTATAGCCTGCCCTCCTAAGAACATACAGGTCCTCACCTTCTCCAGCTTTATTGCCTGCCCTCCTAAGAACATACAGGTCCTCACCTTCTCCAGTCTTGGAGGTGTTGATGTCTGAGTCATCTCGTGTGCCATTCTGGGCCTCCAAGTAGGTGGCAGGGACCCAACCCTGCTCTTCAGATGTGCTCACAAACCACCAGCCTGCAAAGGGACAAGAGAGAACAGGCTGTGAAGGCCCGCAGCATGGAGGTGGCATGGTAGCGGGCAGGAGAGGGCAAGACGTGCCCAGCGGCAAGGCGCCGGGCCAGACAACCTGGGTACCTGGGGATGCCTGGAGTGACTATAGCAGAGAAGACAAATACTGGCCCTGAGAAGAGGGCCCGAGAGAGCTCCACCCATTGTCATGCACATTTGATGAAAACATTAAAAAGTGTAGTGCAAACAAAGGTAGCTCCCCCCCCCCCCCCGCCATGTAGAATGCACTGTTCAGGAAATGTGGAGTGGGTTCTGTCTGGGCACCAGCCACCTGGGATCTTTCTTTCCATCAGCCTCACTGGCATACCGGAAGTCAGGTGGCCTCTGGTTCTGAAAGGCATAACTGCCTCACTGACAGCCAGCTGTCTTTTTCCCTACATGGGCCAACGGTGCTTCCACTTCAGCTGCTTACAGCTGCCCTCGAAGCGTGTTGACACTGCAATCACAGTGAGTGGGCCCTGTGTCCTCAGGTGACCTCTGACAATCAGGGCCCGTGACAAAGGCTCATTCATATCTTTTGTTCATTCAAGTTGTTTGTTCACCCACTTGTTCGTTCATTCAAAAATCAGTTGTGGAATAAAATATCTGAAACCCCCAATTGTGGGTCTCCTGCCCCCATCGCGTTTCCCTTCTCGCCTTTGTCCTCCACACGGCCTGAGAACCCAGGTCACTTCCTAGGTTTTAATTAGGCCCCCACCGTCCCTTACAACAAGCCTGGGTTTCCAAATAGTCTGTGACTACCTAGGCTGCTCCACAGTCCACTGCTTGGTGAGCTGCAAAGCCCGCTGAGGCCATGGCTGTTTGCCTCAAAGGTCTTAGTTGGGTCACTGACTATCTGGGGTTCTGAGGCCTCCTTTGCCACTGACGGGATTGGCCCAGTTCTTTAGATCAAATCCCATGGCCCAGGGTCCTTGCTGGCTGCCTGGCACAGGCCGCAGTGTTCATTTCCTGCAGGGGTGAACAAGAGGGCAGCAGGAGGCACCTTCCCAGTAGCACAGAGCAACTATACAGCCTCGACTAGAACCCGAGTACTAGGCCTGCCCTCTGAGCTGTGCTGTGATGACAAGACCAGGCCACACAGACAACTTCCAGGGGTACCTCTCACCTAAACCTTCTTGGAGGTCCAAAGGCCTCCTGCATCAGGCCATCCCTTGGGCCAGAAGAGGCATCTGGATATGGTCTACAAGATGATGGGTCTCTGGGTTAAGGTGTTGTTAAGGGGGAGAGAGAGAAGAGAGAGGGAGAAAGGGAGAGAGCAAGAGGAACAGAGAGGGGGATGGGCGGGGCCCTTTAAAGGGGAACATAGTGAATAGGCACAGGTGGGGCTCTTAGTGGCTGCAACTGAGTGTGTATCCTGTCAGAACCCCAAGGACAGGCCAGTACAGATGCCTGAATACTAACATAAGGCAGAAGTGAGACTTGGCTTATGAGAGACTAGTTGAGGCCTCTGAGCAATTCTGGACAGGGAGGTGTTGGTACCCATTTGTGGGGACCAGGTGGTATATACAGACAGGCAGGCCAGAGGCTGGTAATGCTCCTCCGACACACACCAGGCACTCCCCGCCTCTGGGGCTGGAGGTGGCTGCCAGGGCACCAGACGACTAGTTGATGACTGGTTCCAGGTGACTCATATCCTGGGACTGGCAGGATGTGCTTTCAGCGTCACACGTCACGACTAGTGACGGGGAGACAGATGCTCACTTGGAGGTCAAGCTCAGGATGGAGGTGCTTCTTGACTGTGGGACCCCCTCATCCTCTGCTTTACCTTGGGTGTTCTGACATTTGGGTAGTGAGGCCGGTGCTTACACTGTCAGTGGGGTGGAGAAGACTGACAGGGTCAGCATTCAGGGATATGAAAGAGAGGTTTTTCACTGGCCCTCTCTGGAACCAGGAGGGCCCCTGAGCATCAAGAAGTGCCAGGCCATCTGCATTTTGATGTTCCAGCAGGTTTCTCAGTCTACTCTTTGGATGAGGTGGCTGGCAGGTGTCAAAGGGCCCTGGCTGCCTACTCATGGAGAGGAGCAGGGAGGTAGTCAGAGGGACAGCAACCTCACCAACTGCTCCTTGGCCTTAGGTTTGAAGTGGAAACCTTCCTCCCTCTGCTGGATTGCCAGGGGGTGGAGGGATGTTATGCAGGCTTGTATATCAATCCTGCTTACCAGGTAGACCCCCAAGAATGCAAGGCATAGTTAGCCACAGTACCCAACTTGGGGTCACTTTCAAGAGGCTCTTGAAAACCAAAGCTCATACCTGTATTTGCAGCCCCAGGTTCTAATGCTGACAGCACAGAGGTGACACCCACATCTCATCCTCACAGACCCTTCTCCTGCTGACCTCCAAAGGCCCATTCATTGATGCTAAGTCAATGTGCAGCAGGCCACAGAGGTGTCTGCCAAGCCTGGCCCACAGGAACTTTCTTCTGGGAGTGGATTTCCCCAGGATGGATCTGGGCTGGGGCCAGGGCTTTTATTGTCATTGGACAAAACAAGATGTGCTTTGAGGAGACAGCTCAGAAGCAGGCATCTAGGTAAGGCTTTGTCAAGATCTTTTCATGACGGACATTTTCTTTCTATGCCCAAGTGTCCCTGCTGCCAATGCCATTGTCTGAAACAACTCCTCAAGGTCCCAGGAAGGCAGGTAGTTTGGTGGTCTCGAGGAGGCTGGGTTTCTATCTTCCAACCCTTCTAAGTCATCCTGGGCAGGAGCTACGGATGGATGCCCCTTCTCTAGGCTGAGGGCTTCTGGGGGATGCTGAGGGTGATATTTCATCTCAATGTGAGGCCTAGAACCCCGACTTTGCTAAGACGGGTTTTCTTATCAGCCCCATCCAATCAGTCTGTATCTGAACTTCCAGGAGGCAGCTCCCTAAGTCTACCAGATTCTTGTTCCTACCTTCTCCTTCCTGTGTGGAGCTTTCTCCTCGTCTCAAGGGGTTATAACCCAGGAGTCACACTGGAGCCGGGTGAGTTATGCATGTGTACCCATCTGTATGTGTGGGCACATACACACACGGGAACAGAGCTAGGTCTGCATCTGCACGCATTACACAATTACAGCCAAACACACAGTAGGAATGCTCATCTCCTGACACAGGCCACTTTATTCACTCTGCAGGACACTGAGAAATAATGCCACTGCCATTAAGCTTCCCACTTTAGAGAGGAGAAAGGACTTCAAACCTAGAGAGTTCAGGGAGATAGCCGAGTCTTTGCCACTCTAGAGGAAGTGCTCTTGGTTCAAGCATGAGGGTACCGGTGACTCCTTGACACACTGGGCCCCTGCATACTGGCACTGCTGTTACCCTGGCTTAGTTCTTCCAGCTGTGCAACCTTGGGCAAGCTACTAGATCTTTCTGATCTCAGTCTCCCTTCTGATATTAGATAGGGCCTATTCTCCAAGGAGGAGAATCAGAGAAGACACCAGGGGCTGGGTTGGGCTAGTCCCAGGATGGTGTTGACCACTAAGCATCCGCCTGTACCCTATGCATGGCTGGGGCAGTGTGCTTTCCACGCAAGCAGGATAGCCATTCCACTTAGAGGGCCCATGGGGGTAGGTGAGGGGCTCCCACGCTCTGCTGATGAATGGAGGATCTTGTTTCAGAGAGGCCTGAGAGAGCACCTTGTAGGTGTGTGATGTGCAAGAGAAGCCTGATCTGGGCAGAGCCCCCAGGCTGGGAGTCACCTACTGTAGCAAATTGCTTCTGCCACTCGGTTCCTCCTCCTTCCCCCCAGAATCGAAGGCCCATGGGCGCAGTTAATCATGGCCTCAAGAAGGGACCCCTTTATCTTGGTCCAAGTGCCAAAGCAGGTGGCGGGGTACCAGCACCAAGAGATGTGTCCAACAGGTTCAGTGAAGGGTGGGGATGAGGATGGCAAAGACCAGGTCCAGTCCCAGGAAGGAACCACTCAGGCTCTGAACCAGATGCCCCATCTCAGGTCACAGGTACTTTTTGGTGACCAGCTGTTAACTAAGAGTCTGTCTGGTTGGCCAGTTTCTGGGGATGAATTTTAATTGAGTCTTCCCAATGTTGGCATGTGGAGGTGGGGTTAGGCAGAGAAAAAGAGAGAAGAGACCAGAAGGAAAGAGAGAGGCTTGGGAGGAGGAGAGGGAGAGCAGCTGGGGCTGAGCCTGGTTGGGGGGGGGTAGCAGGAAGTGATGGGTACTCCCAGGCCACTGCTGTCCCCAGGGTGACCAGGCTACAATGGCCTCCTTAAGTAGGGAGGATAATGAGCTCATTAGGGCCGGAGTGAGGCCAGCTGTATACAATTAGGATGTTAATAAAGTCCTGTGAGGTCACTGCTCAGCCTAGAACAAAGCAGTGGTGGGGGTGGGGAGACCCTAGTCCGGTCTTCCCTTCTGAAATTCTCCCAATTCTCCCAGATGTTGACTTGTGTCCTCCTTGAGGCCCCCCTCCCACTTTCCCCACTCTTCTGGTTCTGCTCACCCTGGGACCGGGCCCAGTTTAGATCCTGGTTTCACCACTTCCTAACTGGGCCACTGGTCCTTTCTGAGCCTCACTGGACACCAGGGTAAAAATAACTATCTATGGGGGTGTTTCCCTCAATCAGGGACACGTGTTATCAATCACCTGGGATGGTCATTGAGTTATTGGGATGCGCCAAGCACTGTTCCAGTGACAGGAACCGTCCCCCCCCCCAAGAACACTCTTGGAGGTTCCCTTTTCCCATCACCCCCAGCAGGGCACACAGCTGTGAGGCCAGCCAGAGAGACCTGTCCTCCTTGCTCAGGCCCTGATGTCAGTCTCTTGGCCAAAACCCAGGATTTTGAGACAGTCTGCAACTCTGATTTGGGGATTTGAGAAACCTAGCAAAGTTTAGGTGAGCTCCAGGCCTTACTTTTATACCCAACACAGTGTCTCTACTCTTTCCATTGAGAGCTAACACCGCGCACCTCACACAGGCCTCCTAAGGCTCCCATACCCAGGT